ATGCTTCATTTTTTGTTCACTTGCTGAATTCTACTATGGTGTTTTATCTGCCTCACTCTTCAGCCTGATAAGCTAATTTATGTCATGTAAAGAACAAGCTGAACAGATTTTTGATAATGGATAAGACTTCATTCCAGTGCCCTGGAAAATCCAAAATCCTTAGAGATGGAGGGCAGTAGACTCATTTACTAACAAAAGACAAGTCCAGGAAGTGAACTACTCTCCTTACACGCTAGCGATAACCTCTGTTTAGAAAAGCAAGCATTCATAGCTATTAAGAAAAGTGTTAGTACAGCTTCATTCATTTAATATTAAGCACAATATTAAGCACATTTATTCATCATTGAGTATGGAGAGGTGAGTAAGCAGACATGATGTATATCCTCATGAAGCTGACAGTTCATGAACCATGCAGTTGGATAAAGTCTTTTAAAGTATCACATATTGCTTTGAGAAAAAATAGGAAAGGAAACGTGCTTTGGACAGAGACCATTTATTTTTAATGAAGTAATGTATAAACTGAGGTTAGTCACAAGGTGTGGCTGGCGTAGGAGGGGAAAGAGATGTGAAGTGTGTGATATTTTCAACAACAACAACAACAAAAAACAGCATGGATCTAGCCATTGAGTAGGAAGAAGTTTGCTTCATTTGATGAAATGAATGAAAGCCAGTGTAGCTAGAAGTAAGCATAGACAGGGGAAAATGACAAAAAAAAGGACAGAAGAGGTGTTACAGAAGTGAAACCATGTAGGTAGGCCATGATGAATGGTAAAAGGAGAAAAGGTTCTCTACACAAAACATCCATCCCTGTAAATGGCTGGCTGCTCTAGTAACACTCTTAAGACTCCAAGTATCTTTCCCTCTATCACCCAGAAGGAAGAGGGATTGTCTGGTTGGTGAGTTTAAAAGACAAAACTCAGCACAAGTAGCTCTACTCCTTCCTCTCTCCCCGTTTCTTTGGGAAAGATATATTTTGAGAAGCACTCATTCTGCAGTGTTTCTCCAGGACATAGGACATAGAGTGAAAGAGTATCATGGCAGGGGGAAAAAGATTTCCCCTAGTACACCCCAGGTCTCCAGATGTAAGTTAAGCTCTCAGTATGAAAGATCAGGATTAGAAGACCCACTTTTCCATAAATAGAAGGCAAACTCCTCAAAATATATTTATCAACACTAATAAAAGCATATTTTAATTAATGCATTTATTAATAGATGTGATATTAGTAAGTATGACTATAACATGTAACATATTGCCTCTTGCTGCAGAAACTAATTCGATGCTTACCAATTCCATTTTCTTTTTCTTTTGGGGCGTGTGCTTAAATACATTGCTCAACATTCTTTGCAATTAGGTATTGCTATGTAAATGAGTACTCATCTGTGAATAATAAGTGGAAATAATGTACACTACTTCCAAGCCTGGTCTATATAATATAAATTATCCTTACATAATCTCCTTTCTCTCTTTTTTCTAATCGTTGATCAGATGACCTCGTGTTGAGCTGCATGAACCTCTGAGAATCTGAAGGACAGCAGAGTCACTGGATAGATGGAGAAGGCTGCCCTCCTAACACAGGTAGGGCTATGCGTGAGTCAACAGTCATCACCTATTGGGTATTATGTACTGGAACTTGGGATATTGCTTGTTAGAGCAGTTAGGGTGGGAAAGAGTGGTGTCAATGGGCATCCACTGGACCATCAGCCTCTGATGGTTTAGGATGGTGAATGTGGACTTTCTTGGACTGCTGAATTACTTGGAAGGCAGCTATCCACTAGTAACAGAGAATTCACTGAAACGTTTCAAACCACGGGCTAATACAATCCGATGTAATGTCTTAGAAATATCATGCTGCTTGGTGGGTGTAAAATGAATTTAAATAGGTCAACAGTGGTGGTAAAGAAACCTGGGAGGAAAAGGCAAGGAGATGATGATGGCTGTGTCTGGGGAAGTAGCAAGGATGGAAAGGAATCATGTGAGATACAGTTTGGAGGCAGAATTGATAAGATACATTAATGTTCATAGTCAATTCTATGGAATAATTTCTTTAAGCCACAGGAATAGCAATAAGAGGCAATGTTTCAAAATTAGCATTGAGCTCAGAACTGCACTAATATTCTACCATATGCCTATTTCTAATAACTATCTTTGTGGACCTGCCTTGATGTGTGCAGAATAGCTCCCATATGCCACGTGTTTTAAAAAGATAAGGTGTGAGTATAGAATTTTTGCTACATACAACTAGTAATTCTAATATTCTATTTTCCCTCAAATCAGAAAGGTATTTTGAGGTGTTTAAAACAAGGCTTCAATGTAAGCCATAAAGGGGCCCAACAATGCCTGTGTCTCTGTAAGTGTTTATAAATATTTATGAAAGAATATTAAAAATTATAAGCTACTAGGCACATTGTTATGATCACAATATGGTGACTTATGAAGAAAATCTATTAGAACATTCCAAGTAAATGCTCACAATATTCAAAGCAAATAAAAAATTACTTTTTAAAATTTTTTATCTTGAGACTAATTTTTAAATGTTAGCAAGTATTCTCACATATGGCAAAGAGTCTCTTACATTATGGAAAGAGTCAGTCATTGATTGTTAAAATGAGGTACCAGAATTATGTGTAATCAATGTTACTTATAAGAATATTTGATCCTCCAGACCATGAAATTTCATATAAATGACCCTTTCCACACACTCAGAATTCATATCTATTTCTGAATTAATACATGTGGACTTACAAATGAAAAGCTGAGTAAGTATTAAATTCAGCATGGAAACAGCATTTTGGATATAATTACCTCCACTGTGCATTGTCTTGGTTGTATTTTAAACACTTAAGTTTTACAATTAAATTTTTATGCTTTCCCTTCTCTACATGTCAGTAATTTAAGAATGATTTCCCTCCAAAAGCACACTAGACTTTCAAATGCATTTTTACAGTGCTAGGTCTATTAAGAACATCTGTTTCCAACTTTAACAATTGCTAATCTTTCCATCAGCAGTTCTTAGGCATGTATTTGCTTTTAACATTTCAGGCATCTACAACAGAAATTACACTTGTATTCAAATATTCTAAGAGATGATGAGCTACAATAAATGCAAAGGTCATTATCAGAATTTTTGAGGAAAAAGAGAGTAAGAAAGAACAATTTACATGAAATTTCAAGGAATGCATCATTACATACCTGTCAATCAACTGTATGGAGACTATGAATATTTTACACTTATACTTGTGCTACAATACTTTTTCTAAATGTAGCCTAAAATTCTTACCTATTATAACCCATTATAAGATATGATTAAACAAAGAATATATAAATAATTAAATTCATTCTAAGTAGTCTTATTTGTTTAGTTGCTAAACGTTCTTACATGTCATCTTATTTTACAAAATAATTTAAAATTATGTACATATCACATTTCTTAAAAAAAAATCCTAAGAACATAAGAAATGTTTTGTTGGAAATGAAAAGGCATATTAAAAAATTGTTCATATAATTAAAATAATGTTTGATCTTTATATTTACAAATTTTCAATGTCTACAAAATTATTTACATTCATTGCAGTCATTATTCAACTTTGTGTTTCATTTAACTGAAATATGCACTCAAAAGTATATATAGACAAATTTTTTTAAATTTTGAGGTTTATTCTGTTCTGAAACACTGTCAGCTTTTTAAATCTACCAAGCATCATATATGTATTAATAAGCATAACCGAATGGTCATCAAATAAAGATCCACCTTACACTGTACAATGTCATAGTTTAATTTTTTCTCTCACTTATTTTGCTACCAAAAGTCATATTTAAACAGAAAACATCACACATTTTCAAATACACATATTGCTTTGTAAACCAACTCAAAAACCTGACTTTTTCAGTATGTTTGCTACATAAATGTTACTTAAATAAAGGTTTACAAAACTAAGAGTAAGATTATCAAGTCTGTACTGCACACTAGTGGCAAGAGATAGTAAATGCATTTTTTTTTACTTAAATTTTACACTATTTGCATCTTAAATATTAGCTTTTTCAGTCAATTTTAGAACTCATTATATTACAGACCACATATACATACATTCTAAACATAATATGTTTTTGTGTCATGAACTATTTTTATAGTACACATCAATGTATTGTGAATGTCACACCCAGAGACAGGTTCCTGTGCATATAAATACTATGAATGTGTATATCTATGTATATGTATGTGTATATGGGTATATACATGTATATATAATATTAATATTACACACACGCCTATTAAATGTTAACTCTTGTGAAAATAGTCATTATTTTGGCCATTTTTTTCTTTACTCATTATTCTTCCCTACATACTTATGTAATACAATGCTTTAATACACATAACGTACAATTAATACAACTTAAATCATAAGTGCTAATAAATCATTGAAATGGGAAGGGTTCATGATGGCATTTTATTGATGAAAATGCAAAAGAAAAGTATTCTGGCAAGTGGCGGATTCCAAATAACTAAAATGTCGATATGAAAAGAACCTTAATACAACTGAGATAAATTGATATTTTCAGATTGCTTCATGAAAGAGTAAGAGAAAAGCATTTATGATAGATGGTGTGCTATCAGAGGTAATCTTTAGCCATCCCCTCTCAGATGCCTAGAATAAATAATTAACTATGTCATGTAGCTGCTCATTAATCATTTAACTATCAATATGTATATCAAAATATCATTTTTATATCATAAATATATGCAGCAAGATTTTTGATAAGAAATAATGACCAACATAAAACTGCCACAGATGTGTTAATAAAAACAAGATGTCATACAATGTGAATCTGACTAAGTCCACTATTGATAAGTGATTTCAAATATTCCCCTTGTAGCGGAAATTCCAGTTTTTAACTTCCCTTCCTGTCTGTTGTGCCTTTTATTTTCTGTCCACTTGCTTATATATTCAAAGAAATAAAAAGCTAGCCTTCATTTCTTCCCTTAAGTCATATACCCCCATACCTCTTTCACGTTTTTGGGCTTTGATTCTTTCAGTTCTTCGTACTTCCATTTCCACAGAGACAAAGCCGACTCTAGTCTCTCTATTTCTTTTTCCAAAGCTGTGCGCATTCTAAATAATTTAAGAATTAAAAGAAAAAAAAGTTGGCTTCAATTTTAAAATAATTACAAGGAAGCATCCAATTTCATATCCATTTTCCTAGTTTTTGATATTTGTATGTGATCTTAATGAGAAAAAACACTTTGCAACTTATTAAAAATTATAGATATAGAATACAACTTTTTTAGTTTATTATTCTGACAATTAACTTTACAGTAGGTTAAATATATTTAATTTGGCTTTGCCAGTGTTAACATTTTGCTTGCTTTCTTCTACATGTTTCATGCATGCCTCTCAATTCCTCTCGCTCATAATATTTTCTTACATGGGAAGATACATATGTTCCTAATTTTAACATGTTTTTTTATCCATCTTCATATTGTGGCTGCATGGGAATAAAAAAAAATTGAAAAGACACAGCATGCAAATAAGCCTACCTAACAACCATTAAAAAAAGTCATTTACTGGGTATATAAAAATAATTTTTAAATATTTTAAATTTTGTTGTAACAGAAATTTCACTGGGATCCTTATTTAAATTATTCTAAATAACTGAAATTAATTTCTCTATATGTAGAACTAGCAACAGAACGAGGCCTTTCTATACCCCAACCATTGGATTTTTGTTTATTTGTTTGTTTGTTTGCCCACACTGTCTGTTAGAGTCATTGATAATTGATTTATTTCTGGTTGTAATTAACACATATCGACCTTTGAAGCTGGCTTTTCCTTATCTGTAAGGTAGATTTGATTACTATTCAAAAATACTCATTGATTTTTCTCTACTTCCACTGACAGAGTTGTTTTCCTCATTCCTCAATTCTAGGATTTGACAACGAAATATTAGCAGAGATGACAGAAATAAAAGTTTGAAAACCACTTGTGTGTTTGAGCTCTAGGTAAACACATTTTGATTGTTACATGACACTGAGATTCTGTGATTGTTAGTTACAGACTTACTGCATTCATAATTAACTAATATATACACTTGGATCTATTTCAATGATATTAAATGTCACTAGAAAGATTTTAGAAACATACAGAGCTAGAAAATGCATGCAAAATCAAAATTGAATGTCATTTAAATATTTATAAGAAATATGACTCTTCCTGGTAACAATACTATGATAATAATTCAAAGTAGTGTTAGACGGTAAATACATTAGTTTAAGCCAATCAAATGGATAAGTAGCCTATTAAAAAGCTATATAGTTATATTTGTATAAATCAAGCCATGAAATTGAAAGAGGATATAAAAGAATTAGTTGGAGCTTAGCTTAACCTCAAAAGACACAGGTTGCAAAAAAAAGGTGCAAAGCATCATTTATAAACTCTGATTCAGAATCCCTTATTAACATAGCAAATATATTAAACAAAATTAACAAACAAAAAGATTCAACTTGAAAGTTTAGGTCTTATGAACAGTGAATATGAATGTTCATAGTCCAGATTAACCATAGCAGTCACAATTTCAGATAGACAAGTAAACCTAGCCAGCTGAGGACATCCAAGTTGCTTATTGTGATATAATTTTTGTTTTAGTAGTTGTGTTTGGGATGTCAAGAGGAAAAGAATTAAATACAGAAATAATAAATCAGTAAGTATTAGTATTCCGTGTTAGATTTAGAAAGTATATGTACAAATCCTTATAGGATGAAATATGTTGCATATCTAACATTTGAGTGCATTTTAAGTTTTGGGTGATAAATTAGAACATTTAAAAGATATTGAGTATTGACTGAGACCTGTGAATTTACACTGAAAGTTATAATAAAAAGTTTGTAACTTCATTGGAACGTTTAAGATAAGAATCATCACATTTATAATTTTAATTTTTTAGATATTCTTGAGTAGAACGTGGAAATATTCTGTCAGTAATTGAAAAACTTAAAAAGCAAATGGCATATGTTAAATTAATAAAATAATTTTACAAAAGATTTTAATTAACTGCATTTGTGTAATAAACCATATATTTATGTTTCTCATTAAAATTAATTGTGAAAATTATTTCATTTATAATAGAATAATAGAAACGTAATACTTGAAAAAATCTAGAAGTAACACAATCATACATGTTGAAAAATCAAACGTCTGCTTTTGATATTACATTTTAATGAACTAAATGGTAATTTAGAAACTCAAATTCAAATTCAAAAATTGTCAAAGTCATATTTACCTCCTTAAGCATACATCATAAAGAAAATACCTGAAATTTATTTGTTTCCTAAAACAAAATTACATATTCTTATTATGTAAAAGGTTAGGGGAGTGAAAAAACAAGTAATTCATAAAAAATTATTTAATGATAATGGGATACTTAAAATATTTTTAGCATTTTGACAGCCTCATCAAAAACTTTTGTGTCTCTGTGCCAGCATTAAGGACATTGTATGTCTAAATTTATGCAGCAGGGGGCACCCTATAAATCCTTAATTTTCTAGCCTAATCAATTTATTCTGTGTTTCAGAGATTTTCAAAATTGATGAATAATATAGTTAAATTTATAAGTGAGAGGTATCCTATTGTCAGGTTATGTGAGCTATAAGAAGGCAAAGGAAAACACCCAATATTTACACTGAAGTGTTACGTATTTTATGTACACATTCTTTATGAGAACAAAATTAAAGACAAAGTTCAACAAAAATATAGTATCTTTAATATGATGATACACACTTTTAAAAGCATATTTCTAAAATATTTAAAATTTGTAGAATCTAAAAGATAAAATGTGAATCAAAATTATTTTTATGGGAAGATGTAATTATATTTCTAAGCATGTTTGATGCTTTGTTTACTGTCGCAATTCCACAATAATTGGAAATGAAATTTAAATTTCTAGACAAGAATATTATTCAAATATTTCTCAGGAATGAAAGGTCCTAAAAATTAATATCTAGTAATAAATGTTAATCATTGTTGAACTGTAGGAAATTTCACTGGAAAAAAAAATGAACAATTTTCTGAAAGAGTGTATAAGAATAAAAATGTTCTTACCAAATTAAATGATTATTTGTAATGATATGCAGATATTCATTTTTATAACAGTTCAAAATTGAGAGATAATATTAAACTGTTAAGTTAATACAAATATACTTTAAATAAGCAGCATATATGTCATTTTACAACTGCACTTCTTACTATTGTTACAAACAGCCAAGCCATATACAGTTAATTTAATTAGAAAAGATAAGTATTTAAAGAATATTATTAAGCTCAGATCTCCAGGAAAATCATAGAACAATGCTTGCAGATGAAGCAGATGGAGACAAAGACCCACTCTCATGCCATAAAACTAGTCTCATGAAGACCCCACTGCCTGTAACGTCCTCTCTCTGTTGCCCGTACAGCCTCTTAGTATTATATATCTGCCAAGCAAACATATTCAAATCAGCTAATTTGAGTGGAAAAAGATACTATAGCTCAAAAAATTTCTGGGAAATCTCTGGGGAACACATGCATCAGGAAACACTGATGAAAAAGTCATAGAAATCTTCCTGTAAGCACACTATTTCAGCCACTATTAAGGTAGAGACATTACAGCAAGACCTCAAGATCACCAACACAGGACAGTGAGTGATGTCACTAGGCACCAGAGGCCACCATTGCCTCTGGAAACAAGTTGTCCTTACTGCTGCTGCTTCCCCCTCATGCATGAATTCTGGATGCTGTCTACTGCCTTGGGGTATTGGCTTTGCTTAAAAGTCTAGGTGGCCACCTCTGAAGCACTATTCCTACATCAATTGTCTGTACCTTCATTGCAGAGGAAACCATGGTAGAGACTTACTGGCATTTTCATTACCTATGCACAGATACAGACTGTTTCATTTGGTGGCAAACTGCCAAAACACAAAATAGATGCTGAGAGTTAAAAAATGGTAAAGGTGCCGGGCGCGGTGGCTCACGCCTGTAATCCCAGCACTTTGGGAGGCCGAGGCGGGTGGATCACGAGGTCAAGAGATCGAGACCATCCTGGTCAACATGGTGAAATCCCGTCTCTACTAAAAATAGAAAAAAATTAGCTGGGCATGGTGGCGCGTGCCTGTAATCCCAGCTACTCAGGAGGCTGAGGCAGGAGAATTGCCTGAACCCAGG